ATTAACTGACATAAAAAATGGAATCACCTGTTAGTGTTACTAGAATAACATTTTTGAACTATGATCAATAAGCCACCACTGGCTAGATAAACGGAACCAAAAATGCAGGATTCTATCAACATTTACATATACTACTAAAAAATCCTAATCAGTACACCAACAAGGAGAAAGAGCCAATACAAATGAGGGAAGAATCATGCAGTGCCCGTTATGTAAACATATCAGATGCTAACCCAGAGTACCGGTAACTACAGAAAGTTAAGAACAATCTAAGCTAATGTCAAGGAAAAAGAAACTACCGGCTTGGTAATCCAGGATACATTGTGCTTCCTCCACTCAGAACTATATGCTGGTATAGCTGTAAAATCCATCACAAGGCACCAGAAAACCTTAAAATATGATCTGAAGTCCTTAAAAGTAAGAAAAACAAATGAAATCATTGAAATATTTTTTCCAAATAAGATTTGCCACTGAATGTCAATACAAGAAAACAAAAATAAGGAATGGATGATAACTTAGATAACCATTAGTGAAATCAAATAGCAAGTAGCACACCTCAGATACCTTCACAAGTCTTGCATAGAAAGTGAAGCTAAGCACAATTTCTTCTACTATACTCTTTAAGTAAATAAATTCCAATCTATGAACAGGTATTCACATCCAAACATAACAACACGATACAAATATCAAAGACTGAAATCAAATATAACATTGTACCATCATCCGGTTGTCAATATCCATTTCCTGAATGCAACGGAAAACCATATCAGCCATTCCATCTCCTTCAACATCAATAAGTTCCTGAAAGAATGGTAAATCTCAAGGCAATCATAAACTATCAAGTTTCATTGCAAAAAGGCTCTTCAACCCACATGAGGGGCAGACTATGATCACCATTACAACATTGAATCTACATAATAGCGATAGAAAGCTTTAAATCAAATGGACAAAGAGACAAAGAGAACTTACCGGAGTGAAAAGAGCTTCAGGAGCCTGAAACCTTTCAGTGCCTACTTTAATCACCCTTCCATCTGGAAGCTGATTATGAGTGGATACCAATAAGCACAGTTGAAGAAAACAATAAATTCATGACACATACTTCATGCATGCATGTATGCTATGTTCAACTGTGGGACAAAAATATGCCACAATATAGCATAATAAATACATTAAAACAAACAAAATGTAAATGAATTCACAAACAAAAATGAATAATACATGAGAAGATACACATAAAAGAACATATTAAAACGATAAGCCAAAGTGGATCCCCCCACTCCTAATGCCTCTCCTCAAGCAAGCAATATAAAGCAGAACTGCCCACCGGATTATTGGCCATTTACACAGAAATAGCCCTAAAAATTTTTCAATAAATTAGAAATTAAACTTACGGTATAATTCTTAACAAGTATTGTGGTCTCAAGTCCCAACTGATATTCCCTCTTGTAGTCATAACTGCAGAAAAAACAGATATAGCCATGACAAGAAAGGACGACACAAAGCCCCTGAAACTTAAGCGTTTAATGAGATTACATGTTGACCTTATGTAGCACAACTTCTCCTTGATCTCCCTCACAGCCTCAAAATCAGCATTCCTATTCATTGCATACCTTGAGGAAATAAAATTTTGTTCCATTTAGACATGAAATGTGTGATGTAAAAATCCAGTTACCATAATATCAGAACTGAAATGAAGGGAATTAGCCTTCACCCCCTCCTTGAAAGCAAGTCAACAAGATATGATGTTATATGCCGGCCAGCTACATTCATTCGTTTTGTAAGATGTGGGAATGAATAGCCATCAACAACAGGAACCTGGATTAAAAGTTGCATAATTAACATCTTTTCAAATAAGCATACAAATCACAGTACATGTTGCAGAAACAATAAATACTGGATGACACTTTCTTAAGATTAATGTATAATATTGACAAAATATGCTAAGTATTTTGATTAGTTTGGCAATTCGCTTATCCTATTCAGCTCATCTTAGATTTGAGATGCAAGATTTGCACAACAATCCCTCATAACCCACTGCTCCAACTGATGAAATCACATTTTTTATAAGTTGCGCAAGTATGCAAGTGTATAAAGTTTGAAAGCAGTTTTAGTTAATCATATACAAGTGATATGAATTATACAGATAAAAAAAAAAAAAAAAAAAGACCTATATCTAAGCCATTGTTCAAGGAACTGATTTGTCCAGATTAATAGAAAGGAGATAGAACAAAGCCATCATAAAGGTCAGCATAAAACTAAGTTAATTACCACATGTGTGACACCATCACCAGAATCAATAACCAACCCAGTCAGAAGCCCTGGGACAAGAAAAGAAAATGTTAAATTGCAAGTGAAAGAAGCTACAAAGAGAGCACATGCCAATGAAATGTACATGGAATATATATTGCGTTTACAAATCCTTGGAAATTATACTATCTGATGTCACGGTGAATAGTCTAATTTTGGAGTGCAAACCACAATAAAGATACTGAAAAACAAAGGTTCAACCTTAACTCATCTCTATAAGCACCTTGAGCATATAATGTTAGAACAGCTTGGATTTGGATGAATACCCCAGCAAAATTGTACTTCTCAAACATTGTCTCAACCTGCCAAGTCAAGTTACATAAGCAGTAATGTTCCAGGTATATTTAGATATTAAGAGAAATTAATTTCTTCTAGAGAAGGAAAGAGTTAGAACCGATTAACGAACCATTTTTTCACGATTCTTTGAGGGATTAAGAGGAGGGTCTGTGAGTAGAATCTTACAGTCTGGTGGGTTAATCTATCCCAAAAAAAAAAAAGGTTAAACATCACAGCATAGGAACAGCATTTATCAGCGGATAAATCAGAAGCGTTAAAAATTTACTTTTAATTCATTGTAAAACGCATGGTCCCAGACATGACACATATCCTCCCAGTTTTGCACAATTCCGTTATTGACAGGATAAGATATATCAAGCTGATGCCGCAAATCCGCACAAGCTTCCCCAACAACAATATCCTACATGAAACAGTGCATTCCCAAACAGAAGACATGATATACGTCAGTAATATATTACTGCAAGGAACTTTAGAGGGTTAAAATCATAATAACAGTCACTTCTTATAGATCGACATGGCGTCGATTCCTTTAATGCCCCAAAAACAAAGGGCCTCGCTTCCTTCTGGAAAAATATATGCCTCTCGTCAATTTTAAAATTATCCAATCAACAACATCACTCAGACTAGGTTTCCCTGAGATGACTTGCAGCATTAGGCCCTAGCAACTTGACAAGTCAATCATTATTCAAGTAACGCGCCATCAGTTAAGTTTCTCGGCAAAACGATTTTGTCTTAAGGCATCTTTCTTTATACGTAGAACGTTTGTAGGTTCAAAAGTGCCATACCTTTAGCTCTTGTTCAGTTAGTGATTCTTCGTACCGAAGCATCGGCCTCCCTACCACACAAGGAAAAACAGAGGTAGGGAAATTCTCCCCGGAAAAACCACACTTAACGTACTGCATTCAGAAGAAAATCCGACATCAAAATGGTAGGAAAGACTTCACACACGACAACAAAGAAGTTAGAATCACCCACAGCAGTTAAACAGCAACAATCTCAAGCATGGAAATTTAATGCCACGATAGGAAAGGATAAGCCATGAAGAGAGTAATGTTAAACGACCGTGAAATTCCGACACTCACCAGTGGTTAAGCAAAATAGGCAACGTCCAGAAAGATGATAAGGGGCACGGATAAAAAAAAGACAATTCTGAATAAAATATCGACGATCTAGAAAAATTTCACCGAGAGGAACACATGGTGAATCGCATTCGATGCTATGCAGCAAATAACCAATTTTGATCCAGAAAAGAGTGAATGGCTCTTGGCAGATCAAGCAACGCGATCCATTCATAATCGAACGCATAATATGAAAGCGTGATAGACGTACCCCGGTGCCATTGTCGCAGACGACGACGTTTCTATTCTCCATTTTCTGCTTCTTCTTCAGCTGCCACCGTCGCCACTGCTATATGATCATGCAATGATTTCATCCGTCGCTTGCTTTCAACCGGAGATGCCGTACGAATGCCGCAAGGGCGGGTGTGCTGTCTGGTGTAGCGTCATATCTCGACTCCAGCTGCGCAAAACGAAGTCGTCTCAGCACTGTTGGTGCTTTTGGTTTCATGCCATTGTGGATTTTTTTGGCCCCATTTTCAGAACCTTGAGTCCCTGCGTGTGGGGGGCCATTAAATTTAGTGGTATTATTATTTATATTATTTAATTTTTATTTTAGTTTTAAATATAAGATTTTAATTTATTTTATTTCATATATATATTTATTTTTTTAAATAATCTTTGTAATAATAATTTTAATTAATATATTTAATTAGTAAATATATTTTAAAAAATATAACACATATTTATTACAAATAACTTATTTAACTATTTTTTTTAATTTCTGAAGGTAATATTATTTATTACTATGAAAAAAAATATTAAAATGCTCTAAATTAGTCAGAACCCAAATCAATCCCATAATCACGAAATGTCAGAATGGTGCATTGACCAAAATGAGGTTTCACTATTTGAAGGGATGACATTACTGCAATTCGCTTAAAAATATAAAAAAAATCTCTCACCTCCACCAATAAATTTGTTTAGGTTGGAATTGTTTCTCATATCAAATTTATGTTACGTTTGTCCAGTAAATGCAAAATTTAAAAAAAAAAAAATGAAAGGCGACGCGCGCGCGTGCAAGGTGTGTGATCCGAGACTGTGAAATAAAGACAATAACGAACTTCCTGGGAAAATAATAAATTTAATTGAAGTTCCAGGATAATAAAAGGAAGGAGGGGGGGGGGGAAGCGAAATCCTTGGATATGGGTGTCCGAATTCCTGAGTGAGGCAAAGAGGACGCCGGGATAACTTGATTCATTCCTTACATTACTTGTTGGAAAAATTGGTAAAAAAACTCTTATTTAAAAATTTATCAGACTGAAAATATTTAAATTTGAGTAAGTACAACTGTGATCTATAAATACAATATATTTTTCATTATATGTAACATATCATTAATGACATATAACAATTATCAATACAAAAGTTATTTGTACACAATAAAAAAATATATTGCAATTAGCAAAAGATATATTGCGCTTATAGATTATACTCACATGTGCTCAAATCCATATCCTTTTGGTCAGTTAAATTTTTAAAAAGGTACTCCTCTGGTCTTTAATATAAGACCCATTTAACTAATTTGATTAGATTAAGGAAGTTAGGTAAGTTGGTTAATTATAAGAAAAGTGACACATTTTTCCTAAAACACCATAATCATCTTTCTTAATACCCCATCTCTCTCTTCTATTTGATTATAGTTGAGGAAATATCCATAGGGGTAATTCAGAAAAAATTGATAAATATGAGAAATGGGTCTTATATTTAGGACCAAAACTAACTCAACAATTGGGTCCTATATTAAGGACCGGAGGAGTAATTTTTTACCAATTTTTCCTTACATATTTAAATGTGAGAGATATAAAATTAATATTAAGGCATTAAAAAATAATGTATTTATTTGTAATAAATGTATGTTGTTTTATAATAAATTTTTTTTATAAGATTTGGGTATCTAAATTTTAATCAACTGTTCTTGATGAATATCATTTTATTATATATAATTAATAAAAATATTTTAAAAATAAATTATAAATTTGAGAGATAAAATAAATTAATATCTTATATTTAATATCAGAATAAAATTATTGTTTAACGTGAACGGAAAAAAAAAGTCATTCGTGTCTTTGTTCATATAGAGATTTTTTTTTTTCAAAGATCGTTTATTAGTGATGGGAAAAAAATATTAAAGGAGGCTATTAAAACACCTTAAAATTTTGAACCACGTGTCATGAATGGAGACGGAAGAGAAAAATATATGATCTACAGCCTTTCGTTTTTAATATAAAAAAACTTAACTAATTTGAATAGGTTAAAAATTAGTTAAGTTAATTATTTATAAGGTACTGAAAACCAGATCAGTCATTGAACCAGTCAAAGATTAATGGATTAGATCGGAGTCAACCCGATGGTTAAATTGATAAGAAATAAAAACAATGAAAATTAATTTAAATTTTCATTAAGTGAGTTGCTAATAAAATAATAATATGATTATAATTTTTTTCCAATCTTTTTTACGATTTCTTTGACAAATTAAACTCATGATATCATACTACTAAAATCACTAAATAATTATCTCAAAAAAATCAAATCAAAATAAATATATAATAACAAAATATTCCTCCATACAGTCATTTAACCACTAAGTCCTAATTATCAACCGCTTTTAACAAAAATTACCAAAATATTTTTTAAAAAAGAGGTAATCGAGTTAACCCACCAAAACTGATCAAGTTGCTCGGTTATTATTAGGCTATTTAGGATTGATCTAAGTCACACTAGGTCAACTCACTCCCAATTTCAATGCTCAACTGAACTGGTTATTAGGCCGGTTCATCGTTTTTCAGGCTAAGCCTACGGGTTTTAATGCTATGATTATTTGTGACAAATATGAATTGATTTTCCTAAAGTATCATTTTAATTACGACTATTCTTGGATACAAAACCTTTTAATATGAGTAATTAATAGGGATATTTTAAAGAATTGATTATAAATTTTAAAATATGAAAAATAAAATAAATTAAGATTTTATATTTAGATTCAAATCAAATCATTAGCTAGTTCTTATAGTAGTATTACATTTAGGATTGTAAAGTGAAAAACAGAATGTAGACCCCATTGATATCAATAAAATACTGATAACAGGAGGGGAAAAAAACAAGAAGAGAGAGACCTACTAACAACATGTTCGACTCAACTCGTCACCTTCTACTTTCATCGTATGACTTGGGAGTGTTTGGGAAAAAAAACTAAATTACGATTTTAAAAATGATTTTATATCATATAAAGTAAATATAAAGTAAATATATGATAATAATTTTGTTTTGGCTTGCGTAGAAAGCACTTTTTAAAAGTGGATTCTGAAAAAACCAAACACCCCGTGCACCATCACGGTTCACTCATTTGCTACATTTTTTTCTCTATTTGCCAAATTTTCTGAGCCCATTAACTTTCAACTAAAACGAACAGTACGATCATTTGATATTTCCGTTCGCACCGCATGAGTTACTAACCATTAATGACATGTATTCAAGGCTTTAATTAATACTATCTTCGGTTATAATTATAAGAGCTTATTGACTAAATTAAAAAAAAGATTAAATTAGTTATTTGTAATAAATAGATGTTGTCTTTTCTAAAACATCCTTACTAATTAAGTGTGTTGACTAGAACTATGATTATTAGAAGGACTATTTTGGAACAAAATGCATAAATAATAGAGACAAAGTAAATTAAGATCTTATATTGAGAATCAAAATAAAAGTCAAACAAGGTCTTATAGTATTTTGATACATAGCCGGTTCCATTGTCACTTTAATTCACAATATAATTTTAGATTTAGACGTGCACATGGATTAATAAAAGTAGTTGGCTTATTAAAATGTAAAAATATTGTAATATTTCCCAAATACATCTTTATTAGAAGTAAAACACAACATTGAGGGAGTGTTTGGATGGAAACAAAACTATAATTTTAAAAGTGATTTTACAATATATGAAGTAAATATGTGAATGAGTTTACCTCAATTTGTGAAAAAGTATTTTTAGGAAGTGTTTTTGGCAATAACCAAACACCTCCTAAGTAGAGGTTTTTTTTTTGGCCAGCTATATTAAATAGAGGTTGGGTACGGTCTAGGAAAAAATATTAAATAGAAATTGGGTCATTAATTATGTGCTAGTATGTCATTTTCCCTATCTTTTTTTAGTTCAAAACTAGCATTTACCCCGCGCGATGCATGGGATGCATTAACTTCACTAAAATCAACGATCATAAACAAATTTAAAGCAATTCTAAATAAATTTAAATCAACTCTAGCAAAATGTTATGTAATACTATCTTAATACTTAGGCCGATAAATGACATATCAGTTTGTGTTCCTAAACCTACTAATGCCTCCACATTATTTGAAACATAATGATCACAGTTCTGAATTTATGGAACACCATAGCTTTGACAGAGTTGGAATGAGTTGGCAGGTCAAGATCTCACTCAAGATTGAGAATCGTTTTCTGGACTTCTTGTTAAATTTTATGATCCTTGATATAACTACATACCAAATGTAAATCTCTAGTCCTGCTACAAATCTGTAGAAACATGAAATAAGGAGCTAAATGATATTAGAAATATATATCAAATAATCAAGAAACTCAACAGCTATCCATAAAAACATGAAGAGGAATGACCACAAAGCTTAGCACAATGACAAATAATTTCCCCCTCTAACGTTCATGGAGAAAAAGCTCATTGTACGGCCACCAACCTATTAGGAATGCTCAAATTTATTCGCCAACTTAGTAGGGATTTAAAACTTAAATTTAGAGAGGTAAAAAGGAACAAAAAAAACATTCAAACACCACAATTAATGTAAACATTATTCACCGAGTATATCTTAGGAAATATAAACATGGGTTTGATATGATATTATGTTTTAGATTTAACAGAGTAACAATACACAAACAGTGCATAACCAAGAAAAAAACAAATGAATGTAAGTTACATTCATATAAGTCCTTTTTTTATGAAACATAACTCATGCAAGCTAAACAAGAAAAAACATGCAACATTTCATAGTCAGAATTGCATCATGGGTGTGCGAAAACATAAAAGATTGCAAGTCAATAACAGTTTTTACCATTTTGTAAAAGCCACTTCATTGTTCAGCTTCCTTGTTCCTTATTCAATGGTAAAGCTGCCAAGTTGGTAGAGTGCAATTCCTTAAAAATAAAAAGGTCAATAACCAACTTTAAGGAACACATGAATCAAAAAATAATGGTGCACATTTACCAACCATAACACACATGACCATAACTATGTAAATGTACTCCACATATTGCATGGTAGACATTGCCCAAGAGCTTCACTTGTCCTCTATATTACTTATATATATATATATCAAAACTTTGCTCTAGCAATACTGTGGGTAGTTAGGTTTCCATTCTCAAGTTTTATGCAATCAATATATAACAACAGAAAAATTGAGGAATTAATGCCTCATTTCAATTTAGAGACTTGCATTTCTCAAACTTGGTTCATACATTATGCATAACTTCAATTTTATGAGTAGAAGTTATGGAGAATGATGAATGAATGAAAATTTTGCAATAGTTAATGCAAATAATTGCTTGTCATTCCAATTTATTTACCTGCACTTATCAAACTTCTATCACAGCTGTGGACAAATCTATTGCCTTGTTTCAATGTCACCTAAATAAAGAGTTTCCTTATTATCAATTATAAGTATCACGTATTCAATATACCTTAAAGCTTATTAGTTAACATTTGATTAATATGTGAACATAATGCAAGGATAAATCCAATCAGCAAAACACGAAAGATTGGTTCCTAAGCAAACCAACTTGAAACAAAGGACGATAAATCACTTTAACAAAATATATAGATGCCCACTAACATAGAATATAAGAGAAAGAACTTAAATATTTCAACTGTAGCAATATGAGAATCAATGGCTATCTTCTTTTTGACGCAAGTAGGAGACTAATAATAAGATTATTGAGAACATTATAAATGGATAGATAAAATCACCAACTGAGAAAACAAAAACAACTAATTAATAACTCAGAGATTAAGGCTATTGACTTCTTAGAGAATTTTTGACAGCATAGACTCGGTAATGAAAAATTGACTGCACATTATTTCAACTCATCAAAAGTACAGAAAATTACTTCAACTCAGCTTAATTGTTCTTGAGAATTGCTCATTGGAATGGACGTAGGAACCAAATATGACTACAATTGAATGTCTTTGGGCAAGCTGGACCCACTAATTCCAAGTTTTTTCAACTTCTCAAATGTCTCGTTTGAAGATTTGGTCAACAAACCACTCCATGCTAAAAAAGCAAGACACTTTCTCATCATTGTTTCTCTCTCCACTGATCTTCAAATCCGTTAATCTCTCTGTTTCCTTTAATTCCAAATCACATCTCGTAGTTGTAACCTTATCTAACAAAAAGGAAGAACACACATTCAGTCAGTTGTTTCATCCATCTCTACTCTGCGATTAATTCAATCGATAAGGCCCTGCATACTATCCCTAATTTACGCTATAGTAGGAGTCAAAAGTCAAACATAATACATATATTGATAGAGCAGAGATGTGATTCGAAATTCAGTTTTTAATACATCAACCACGATAGTGATTAGATTATGAGATTTTAGATTTAAGAACAATTTAAAGATCATCAAAATTTTTCGATAACATAAAGATCAACAACTTTAACTAACATGCAGCCATGAGATATGGATTTGAATGGAGAAGGCTTTAGAAACAAAATGCACCAAGAGTAATGACCATATGATGTTGAAGCACCAAATATTAAGGAAGGCTGAATTCACACCATATTCTGAGGCAAGAATGCAGAAATTATCACGGTCTCTTCCTCTAATGAAACTCCTTGATAAAAGATAGTGGATAAAAACTGATTATGAAAACAAAGACTTATTAAAACCAACCGTTAAGAGATTCAAAATATAGGAAATGATGGATAAGTTGCTAGAGCATAACACACTTCTTGGAACTATAACTCACAACACCTTGTCCATTACCAAAACCGTTGCACAGGTGGAGAATATTTGGTAATAAAATTGCACTCACGGTATTGACCAAATCCCAGTTTTCTTGTCACCATACCGTGGGATGGTAGAGATTTTTTGGAAGATATTGTGAAGAAAGAAAATCCCAGAAAACATTAAGAGGGCAAAAAAATTTATAATAAAAATCCAAACAACTGAAAAAGCATAATAATCCAAACACCCAAAAGAAATCTTGCTTGGATTTACCTGGATGAAATATACCTGGTAGCATGGCCGCTCAAACCACTACTACTTAAGCCATCGGGTTTATAGTTTTGGCATATCCAGTCTCTGCCTCCTATCACAGTTAGCATTTTGAAAGCATGATGAATATCGTTTTGAATGAAGAGCAGGGGAGATGATGAATCCACAGTAAGAGAGAGCCAAAAGAGATGAAAAGAAAGCGAGGGAGAATAGAGATGTGTACCTGAATGGATAAGAAGGAAACAAATCTCTCTTGATGAAAGGAGATAGAGATGAAGAGAAAAGAAGAAAGAACGGAGACGACTCAAGATGGAAATGAAAAAAATGTAGAAAATGAAAGAGGGAGAAGAAATAATGAATCAATGAACATGAGCATGAAGGGAATTTCAAAATTTAAAATTCAAAAGAGATAATTTTATGGTAAGTTATGCTGTAAGAAATCAAAGAGAAATCATACCTTACACAAAGCCCAAAGAAGCAGCCAGTACTGTTCATAAAGCCGGCATTGTTCACAGAACAATAAAATGAGCGAGGAGCCATTGTGGACAGAAAAATGGCTCGGCTATATTCTAATTTTTATTTATTATGTGTATAGATGTATAGTAATATATATATGTATATACTATGGGGGCACTGTTGGCCAAAAAAAAATACCGGGGGCCAGAACGGCGCTTCTTAGATTTTAAATTATAATGATAACTGTTAAGTTTTAGTATTCCTTAGGTTTTATTTACAGGACAAAGAGAAAAAATATTATTTTGTCTTATTTATGACAAGAAATTTTTTATATAGATGTATAATTTTATTTTTTATTTATTATTGTGTTGACTTTGTTTACATGAGGTATAATATATATTAAATGGGGATAAAGTTAAAAATTATTCAATTTTAAATGAAAATTAATAAAATTAAGTTTTTTTTAAAATATATAAAACATATTGAAACAGAGATATGAGTATATTACAATGGTTTGACCAAAAAAAAAAAATTACAATGGGAAGAGGTTGGCAAAGAAAAAGACGGGATATCATTTATTAACTAAAATTATTAAATCAAGGATAATTTTTTAATGACGTTACAAGAAGCAGCTTTTCGACCGCGAAGACATCACGGGAAGGTGCAAGAACGCATGTGAATGTAAATGTAATCACACTGTAATGCGAAACAGGGGAGTGCAGGCCCAAAAAAAAACAAAAAAAGAAACAGGGAAGGGGAAAAAAGACTGTATATATGTAAGCTCTCCGAATAATTAAAAAGAAAAAGAAAAAGAACTCTCGCTGTGGCTGTTCTGACCCAAACCCTTACCTATCTTGCTGTTGCCTCCTCGCGCTATCCCTCTGTCCTTCCGAGTCGTCCATTATTCTGTCTCATATCCAGCAATTCACAAACCCTACAGCTCTGTCCCCTTGATTCCTCTCAGACTTGAAGCTACTCTCCCGGCACCAATCCGAGCTCCATTTCACTCCTCTCGCCGCATTCAAGCTCAATCTCTCTCCTCACGGATCTCAGTCTCAGAATTTCAGCAATCTTGCACTCAGCAGCGATGGCTGACGGAAAGGTCAATCTTCCCGACGATCTCTTCTCGTCCAAAACTACCGATGGACACTTCTCTGTCAAAGGTAATTTTCTTCGTAAAACTGATTTTCGTCATCAAATCATATCTGTTGCAATCTTCATTGTAATATTTGCTTGTTCGATATTGTTTCTTGGTCTGGATCCGCTGAATCTAAATCAATCATGTATTATATGTATAAATCATATGGAGGACCTGTTTATTCCGGTTAGGTTGAATATTTGTATGGCTCTCCTATATGTATTTAGCCGGTTGACCTTTACCTTAGATTGAGGATTGAAGTGTCTCTCGATCTCTGTTAGCTTCGTTTTAGCTATCTCAGTGCGTTTAATGTCTTAAATTGGATTTGATGCATATATTATTTCATCGACGTGATGATTTATCAATTGTCATGGTTTGTCTGGGAGCTAGTTTGCTCTCATCTATTAAGGTGTGGACATTAATCTGGTCGTCTCTTATTTTGAAGTTTTATTCGCAGAGCTTACTATTCAGTTGTGTTCTTTTTTTTTTGGGGGGGGGGGGAGGGGTTTGCTATTGTCAGTATCAGGGAAGTCAGAATAATAGATTGATTTACGCGCTTCCATGTGTTGAGTTGATCGCGCTAGTTTTCCTGGCATTATGTAAACGCAAATGATGGCGTCTCTCTTGACATTTAAGTTTATTGGGTGAAGTCTATTGATATCGTCAATCCTATTTTTATTCTTTACCTGTTTGTTTGCGTGCTCAAACATTTGGGCTTTTGTATGGGTCAGATGAAGCATTGGGAGGGCATGGTGGGGAGAAAGGTGTTGTTGGTGTGCTTGATGATTTGAAAGGTACTTGTTAATCTTTGTGAAATCGTAATTTCTACTATAAATCAAACATTTTGTTGCATTTCTCTCATTATGTATATTAGGTAAAGATGATTAGTTGATGATTGATTTTGCTTTCAGATCAAGTGTCATCTGACAACAGCATACCCTTATCTCCACAATGGCTCTATTCCAAGCCCATTGACGCTAGGGTATCATCTACCAACACTGTGGTGGTATGCAACACCTGCGCTTTTGAATTAGCTGAAATTGTTTCTGAAGTTTGACTGCCTTTTCACTTAATTTATTTGCATGTTGAGGCTATATATTGCAATTAATTATTGTTCTGGAGTCTGAAGATCTGTTCTTGGGGTTGTGCAAATTCAAGCTTGTATGGAATTAATATTTACTACGCTCTGACTAAATGTTGTGGGAGTTTTTGAAATGTATCTCACCACCTTCTGCCTTTAATCTAGATTTATCAGTGGTAGTTGATATTCTTGTGAAGCTGAATTCCATAAGAGTAGCAGACCCGTGGTTGACAAAATTGATTTGATCATGCACATAATATTTGATCCCTCCCCCCTTCTCTCATAGTGTGTGAGTCAACGTGCGATAAATCTGTGGAAGGGAATTTGTCATGACCTTGGTGTATCGTGATAAATTTTGGGTTCAGTGATTATTGATTACAAATTTCTCGGGTTCTAGTGTGTTGTAAAACTTCACTCACTGGTAGTGTATCTGCACTTCGATTTTTCAAATTGGTAGATTCCTCCAGAGGATAATGGCGTTTCATGACTTAACAGTTTGACGAAATATTTATGAAATTGTGGTTAGGGCTAGTAGTATTGATTTGGATGCTCTTAATCATCATTGTTGGAGCTACCGTGCATTATTATTGTCTTCTCTTTTTTGTTGAGTGAAGAGTCTGCCATTCTCTAAACAAAAAAGGGGGAATCTAGACAGCTAAAAGGGCTTTCTATTTCATGGAGGAACAAGTACCATTCAAGAGTTCTCTGTCATGTTCTCTTACATTCTTATTGTTGTGCTGGATGTTTATTTTATTTATTTATTTATTTAGTTATTTCATTTCTTTACAGAATAATTTATTTTAGATTTATTCATTTTTTAAACTAGAAGTAGAGTGTTCCCCCCCCCCTGCTGCTAGTTTTGATAATATTAACACTGCTTTTGTGTATACCATGTCTAGTATCTTTTTAATTTTCATAATGTCTTGCAGCACCATGAAAATTAATAGAGTGATCGTCTGCTTGTTTCTTTGTTCCAGGGGAACGCTACTGATCCCATACTGAAAGATAGCTGGCGTTTGGACGGGTCTCAAGACAAGAAAGATTGGAGGAGGACTGTACCAGATGTTGACATTAGTCGCCGGTGGCGTGAAGAGGAGAGGGAAACAAGCTTACTTGGGAGAAGAGATCGCAGAAAAGAAGATCGTCGCCCAGAAATCACCTCAACGTCTGATAATAGAGCCTTGTCTTCTGACCGTTGGCATGATAGCCGGGGTTCAGGCCATGAGTCTCGAAGAGAGAACAAGTGGTCATCAAGATGGGGACCTGAAGATAAGGAGAAGGATTCACGAAGTGACAAAAGGAATGATATTGAGAAGGAAGATGTTCATGTTGAAAAACAATCCTTTGGTGTTATTAACCGGGCAGGTTCTGAACGTGAAACTGAATCTCGTGATAAATGGAGACCACGCCATCGAATGGAAGCACAAGCGGGTGCTGTGGCCACATATCGTGCTGCTCCTGGATTTGGCCTTGAGAAAGGACGTGCAGAGGCTTCCAATATGCGATTTGCCCCTGGGCGAGGAAGGGCCAATATCAATGGGAACCTACAAATTGGAAGACCTATCTCGGGCTCTCCTTTCGGGTCTGCACTTATGGATAAGAATAAGGTCGTATTGGGAAAGCCTAGCCTTAACTCTGATCTATATTCCTACCCTAGGGGTAAGCTCCTAGACATGTATCGTAAGCAAAAGGTTGATCTTACTGTTGACACCATGCCTGCTGGCATGGAGCATACACCAACAGTAACTCAGCTTGGCTCTGTAGAACCAATGGCTTTTGTTGCTCCAGCTTCTGAGGAAGAGGTATGTGGAAAGACTTACTGCTATCAATTTGATGAATTTTGAACATTGAAGGCATGGGAAAGCTTTTGCTGTGTCTCCCACTTAACTTTCATATGTGTGTACTTGAACAGCTGCCTAAAGTGTCACTAGCACTTGTACCATTGTTATTCTTAAGTTCTGTATGATGATTGCAGGCTGTCCTTAGAGATATATTGAAGGGGAAAATTATTAGCAGTGAAGTCTCAAGCTACTCCTTTAGAGGCAAGGATGGAGGGTCAAATGATGATACATCAGGTGATAAGTTATTTCTGTCAGTCCTGGTCAGTTAATTTAAACCTTTTTTTAGTCCCTTTTGGGGCATCGATAACCTGAACCTTGTTGATTGAGGCTCTGGTTTTCTTCAGGTATTGATGAAACTGGAAGAGAAGGAAAACTCACAACCTCAATTGGCATGGGAGGAGGGGTCATATCAGGATCTGATGTCATGAACAGTGCTGGTGAATTTATTGGTGGACCTTCAAATGCTGATGCCTCATTAAAAAATATTGGTGAGGAAATGATCTTATCCATCTCATTGTTTTAATCAGATGAAATTCCTTTTAGTTTCAATCAAACATTGTTTACAAGATCACTGTGCCCTTTCAGAAATCTTGACGTTTAAAGAAGGAAACCAGAAGCATAGACCAACAATTGATGTACATGGAAGAAATGAGAACTTTGCCAGCAGCACCGGAGAGGCTAGTGCCCCTGGTAACAATGTTTCCGATCCAGGAACTTGCCAGCAGAGACAAGCTTCTGCCCTTCACAACCATGCCAATCAGGATCTTATTGGGTCAGCTGCTGCTATAAGTATGAGTAGCAACCTGCCTAATGATTCTCGTTCTCTGTTTGAATTTTCATGTCTGCAGCAAACGCCAAGAATTAATGAGCAAGACATAAAACCTAATGAGAGGACACATTCAATTGAGATTGGTACCTCTTTGGAGGAGTTAAGTCTGTGCTATCTTGATCCTCAAGGAGTAATTCAAGGACCCTTTCTTGGGATTGACATCATTTTATGGTTTGAACAAGGCTTTTTTGGGACAGATTTACCAGTTCGATTGTCAAATGCTCCTGAAGGATCACCCTTTCGAGAACTTGGTGATGTTATGCCTCATCTTAAGCTAAAATCTGGATCCACTTCTGGGAGTAACCTGATTTCTCAATCAGAACCTTCCGATACAAGTGGAAGGAACCCAAAAGTAAATGCACATCCTGCTGACTATGACATGTCTCCCATTATAGATGATCAATCTTGGGTTTCGTCCCAAGCTGATGTTACCTTGAGTGTTGCTATTCATTCCCAAACGCCTAATCAAAGTTTCTGCTCTGAAACCAAGCTTTCAGATGATCAGTCTCAGTCCTTCACAAATTTTATTGACCAAGATGACAGTAAGTGATTGTTTTCTTGTTTGCCTTTACTATAGCCATTCATTAACTAATCTATGATCAATCTATGGATTTATGTTTGTAGTTTATGCATTTATTTCTAATCCCCATGCATATTTATTTCTCTATGTAGACATCTTATCCAAAATGGCTGGAAGGAGCAATGATAACTCTTTGACAAGGTCTGCTGAGATCCACACTTCATATACCCATCCTTCTGGCAAAATGGTTGCAACTGAAGTTTCAGGGAATGGTACGCATAAAGAGGCTGATAAATTGCATCCCTTTGGTCTACTGATGTCCGAGCTCATAGATGGTTCTCATTTAAGGCGTGCACAATCTTCCAATGTATCTTCGAGATTAGGTGAAGAGGGTCATCTCCTGGATCCGTTGCATGATAGAGGCGCACCTTTTGGTGATCAAGGCTCTCTTGGTGGTGTGGCTGGTCATCCTTCGTACAAGGATGCATGGTCTGATGAATATGGGATAAATCGGCAATTTAATAATGCCCATGTAGGTTCTTTAGAAGATCACTATTTGTCCCACATGGGACCAAAATTTAATAATTTTGATAGGGCAGAGAATCTCATGTTGCAGAAGCTGCAGAAGGAACGACTTCAACAGCAGAATAGTCTACCTTCTCATTTTGCTTCCCGTCATACCGTGCCGGACTTAGAGAGATTTCCAGGCCTTTCACTTTCTCAGAGCAGAAACACTAATGTTCAGCCGATGATCCAGAATTCAGGATCAGATTATGAACGTCTGATGGGACTTCAGATTGAACAGCAACGCCAGCTTGAGCTTCAACAACAGCATGAGATGCACCAACAACAGCTTCTCCAACAAATGAAATTGCAGCAGCAATCACAAGTTCAGCAATTGCTTCTTGAACAATTTATGCATCAGCAGATACCTGATCCTAATTTCAGGCAGTCAAAACTTGATCTTATGAGGGATGATCTGTTTGATCAGGTTCAATTGAGGAGGCAGGTATTGCATGACTTGCAGCAGAATCCTCATTCCTTAAGGCACCTTGATCCATCAGTGGAGCAGATTATCCAAGCAAATATTGGTCTCAATGCTGTCCAAGGGAGGCAATCTGACTTGTCAGATCTCTTGTTGCAAGCAAGGCATGGGAATATTTTACCCTCTGAACAACAGCTTCAGTTTCAGCAAGAACAGTTGCAAGCACAACAACTATCTATGGCACTGAGACAAAAGTTAGGATTGGAGGGTGAACAATTTGGAAGGTCGTGGCCAATCAATGAAACTGGACATTTACTACGAAATTCTTCAACCCATCAGCTTACTCCCTCAGCAGGCTTTAATTCTTCTGATATTCACAAAACGCAGCATGGACTCTTGGCAAAAGACGAACAGTTAAACTATCTAAGCAGGAATCTTGCTGAGCAGAACCATCGAGGTTTCTATGAGCCTAATTCTTTGATGTTTGAGAGATCTCCAACGGTTTCTGCTGGTGTTCCTGCAATGAATTTTGATAGTGTAAATGCTTCTGCCCAAAGAATGGACCTACAAGAACGACTTCGCTATATGCACCCATCTGATCAATTTAGTTCTTTACCCTCTCAGCATCTACAAGCATCTGATGAACTCTTTGCTCGTCACCCGGATGCATTTGAGAGTTCCCTTTCTGGTAACAATGGTCATCTGGAAAATAGTTGGACAGACCCACGGGTTCAACTACAGCATCTTGAAGCTGGGAGACACAGAATAGAGTTAGGGGGTACCATTCCATCAGCTAATCTAAACATGTCTGCATCTGCTGGAGCACGTGATGATAGCTCTGCACGAGGTTTAATGGATGTGCTTCATCAAAAACTGGGTCTTCAATCCACGCAATCATCAAATGCTGATCAGTGGCATCCTCTTTCATCAAGAAGTCAAGACAACTCTTGGCATGTCCACGATTCTAACTCAGTAAATTATCCTTTTGACCGTTCACAAGATCAGCAAATCCATTTGAATGATCCATTTGAAGAAAGGCCTGGAAGTGCCAATTCAACAGCTCAAATACCAGATCATCTTGTCATGCACGTGACTGACAATTTAAGGAACAATGAAAAATTGCCTACACAGTCTAGATCTGGATCTATAGTAGAAGAGCAATCGTTCTTATCAGCTAATAAAGATACTTTACATCCCAGTTACAGAAATCCACTCTTGATTGGTAAATCAACTATGGAAAAAGACTTGCTTGAGTTGGAGGCAAATAAGGGTCAGAGGCATGAGTTTCTAGGAGGAATGAAACCATCACTTTCTGGCATCACAGACTTGTCAGATCAATTAGAAAGCACCATGAGTTCTATGGAATTGCCCGCTACTGCCCAGAGCAGACATAGTTCACTATGCAGTGCAGGTAAACACCCCCCCCCCGGGTTGGTCTTCTTTGTCTTTTTCCCGCTGCGAATTTTAGTAATATTATGAATCTCACTTATCATTCTTGAGCATGAACACTGCAGGCACCGAAGGGGGCGCATACAATCGTGAGATGGGCTTGAGCAATTCACGCGGAGAGGAGATTCCTAATGACAGGTGATGTTCTGTGACTCTACAAAAGTGTTCCACATTCCAATTAAATCTAATTCAGTACCTGTTTTGACCGTCCACTGATTGACCACTAAGAATTGCATCCAATTTCTTTCTCTCCTGGAAAAAAAGGAACAAAAAATTGCATTGGATTCTGAAGTTCAAATTTTATATGATGCAAATCTTTATTGTTGTCCTTTTTCCAAGTGTGCTAATCCTTTTTTGGGGTATGTGGCTGTGTGATCTGGTCTAGTGACAAAAGTTTGATTGTGTCTTCATTACTGACAGGATGTCTCCTTCAACAAAAGTACTTGATAGTCATTTCCAAAAGCGCCCTCCTGTATCTCGCATTTTATCTTCCCCGGATGTCCAGTCAGACCAATCAGCTGTACCTCATGCCAGTGATGGTATTTGCCGTTGTTTTACTATTTTCTCCATTTCTTTTCTCATTATTAATACATGTAAAATTGAAATAATGAGTTCTGCATTAGGGAGACGAGAGCCTTCGGGAAACTCATCAATCAGTGCCGTGGCTGATGCTCAGACTTCTGGTAGAAAGGAGGTGCGATTTAGGAGGACTTCCTCTATTAGCGATGGTGTGATCTCTGAGACCTCATTTATAGACATGCTTAAAAAGCCAGTTCTTAATGAGATGGACGCAGCCAGTGGACCTGCTGGTGCAGATTCATCGGACGGGGGATCCCAAGCCGCTCGGAGCAGCAAAAAGAAGGGGAAAAAGGGGAAACAGATAGATCCTTCTCTTCTTGGTTTCAAGGTCTCTAGCAACCGGATCATGATGGGTGAGATTCAACGCCCAGAAGATTGACAGTTGCTTGTAGATTAGTCGTATAATTTTTTAAATTCTTTTCTTTTTTAAGCCCCCTTATATTTGGTAAAGCGGCGGGGTTGGATGTACAGTCCGCTAGAGCGTAGCCATCATTTTTTTTTGGCACATTTGGTTTTTGTTATTACAAAATAGGTAATAGGATTCGTTATTGAAAACCCATATGGCCTTGACTAGTGTGTACACTGTACAGTCATTCATGAGTGTATATACATGGGTCGATGACTTTTTCCTGTTTTGGGCGCATGAGCAATGCTTTAAGAGGCAAAGAGATAAATTTTTATTAGATGCGCTTTAATCTTTTTGTGCTTAATAAATCACCTCATTAAATTTAGGTTAGAGTATATTGTTACTTTTTTAATTTTTATATAAAGTTTTAATTTAGTTTTGTAACTTTAAAAAGTATATTTTTTATTTTTTGGTTTTAAAATTGTTAGCAAAGATAATGATATTGAGATTTTTTTGAAAGAAAAATGATAATATTAAGGACCTGTTTGGTTCTATTTTATTACAGGTGTGTAATGGTGAAAAAGATTGCACAGTGAAAAAGAGATTGCATGCTCTTTACTAAATTATTGACAGGGGAAACTTGCGAATGTTCGTTACAGGCTTGTAATCCTTTATAAAATGTCAATTTTGTCATTAATTATCTAAGTGAAAAGATACATTTGCTCTCCAATTTCAAATCATGCCATCCTAATGAATTCACAAAATCCCTAAAATACCATATGTGTCTTTTAATAAATTAAACTAAAAATCCATCAAGCGTCTTGAGCCTATAATCATAAACGGAGTTCAGCCGTAATTTCAAATGTTCAGAGATTTGCGCACTGGATGGTATGATTTAATGAGGCAAAAACTGAAAAACATTCATATTTGTCAGACAATATGTAGCAATTAAAGAATGCAGAGAGGCAGAGTTGAGGGAAAGAGGCGAGGGTAGGGTAGTGAGTAATAAACATGTGCAAAAGCGTTGAAGAAATTGGGGACGGATAGAGAGAGGGGGGAAGAGGTCGAGGGCATAAGACGGTGAGGTTCTAAGGAGAGGATAAAAATAGATGAAGGTAGAGAGATGAGACTGTATAACAAAAAACGCCCTGCTCATTCGTGCTCTCCGTGCTCATCCTCTGCCTGCGCGAGGGGAATGGATGCAGCGGATAGGATTTGTGGTAGGTTGAATTATTTTAAAGGGTAAAATTATTTTTTGTTATATATTTGTTTTAAACAATTATTAAAAAAATGATTCATTGCATGTTTTTTAGAAAGCATACCAAACACCATATATTTAATCAATATTGCATTGCACTGCAGGAGTGTAATGGAATTGAATCAAAAGAATCTAAGATTTTAAATATTAATGAAGTATTCTTAAATATTAACATGTTAAGTTTAAATTGCAAGACAATCAATATGATTTTAGGATTTAAAAACTCAAAATATATATTTTTAAATTAAGAATCAAATTAAAACGTTTTACGGAACAAATGCATATTTTTGCTTTCAATTTATTATATTAATATATATTTATAATTCATTGTTTGTTATTTTGTTGGTAAGTATATACTACCTCTGGTTTTAAATATAAGAGTTAGTTGACTAATTTAAAAAGATTAAGAAAATAAGTTAAATTAGTTATTTGTCATAAATAGATATTATCTTTTCTAAAATATCATTCTTAATTAAGTGTATTGGCTAGAACCATCATTATTAGAAGGATTATCTTGAGAAAAAAATACATAAATATGAGAGATAAAATGGATTAGGATCTTATATCTAGAATCAAAATAAAAGTAAAATGAAGTCTTATATTAAGAATTAGAGGTAGTATATTAAATGAGAGTGCTGAGTGCCTCTGCTGGAATCCGGAGTCTTTCATTCTAAGCCTGCCCACAGTTTTTTTTTTCAAAAAAAAAAAACAAGATCTTGTAAATAAGATAGAGATAGTACTTCCTCCGTTCCTTATTATAAGAGACATTTGATGTTTATAGCATGTTCCTGTATATAAGAAACACTTAAAAGTTGTCTCTATTTTTTTGTATTGATTTCCTATTTTACCTATATTTATTGTCTCCAACTCACACTTTCTCTCCTTTCCACTTCTATTTCTTTGAATAATTTATCATTGTTCTCTCTCATACTCTCTCTCCTTATTAATAAGGACTTTTTTGGAAAAAAAATTATATTTTTTACACATTGATTGTTCTTAACTAATTTTAACTGTTTTTTTTATCAACGTAATTCAGTTATTTGTCTCTTATAATAAGAAACAGAGGGAGTAATAATTTTGTAAAAAAACCTGCTCATAAGTCTAATTATCCGTGTGACCCAGTCTCGCGTACAACCGTCTCCTCATTGCAGAGCACAAGGAGCAAAGCCCACCTTATCGGCAAAACTGAGCACCTGTTCGTCCTCTCCGATCTCTAACTGCTCTCCACAGGCAGCTGAACACCTGTTTTACCAACGTCTCACTGGTTCTTTGACATTTCAATTTGAGCTAGGACCTGTTCAATAACTTTGTATAGTTCCTCTTGTTCTTTCACTTGTTGGTTTCTTCTTCACCTTCCTTGCGCCGCCGGTTAAACTGATTGCCCTGATATTACTCAATTTCTTTAATAATAATAACAACCATTCATATCCAACATGAATGACGTGAAAACCAAATGCCGATATAAAAGGGTCCGAGGATTCAATAAATTTAATTGGATTCCATATGATGAGAACTAATCATGACTATAGCATGGAAACTTCCGTGGGATGAATCATTCCCCATGCTCATGCATCTGGTATCATCTGAAGAAACTGTATTATTGACTGTGAACATGAAACAGAAGAAAGAGACGCTAGAAGTCCAGCCCGAATATCATTTAACGTCCAAGGTGACCTTTCTTTGACCCATTTCAAGTGCTCCAAGGCTATTGGAATCTCCCTTGCATCAGCTAAATATTTTATCAAAGTCAAATGCGATTCTGCGCCTTGTATTTCGGGACTAAGACTGCAAATAAACTTTGACGCAGTCATAAGATGTCCTGCATTGAAATTAACATTCAGCTGCTTAGCATGTTAGCTTGCAATATTTAAAGACACTATCAATTGTTCAGGTTGAGAATACCTTTACTGCAGAGGGATAACATAAACGTATTTAATATGTCTCTAGCAAGCGTAGTGTCTTGTTTGATAGACTGGTTGAAGAGCTCAAAAGCTGCTTCAAGCTTGGCTTCTTTGCAAAGTCCTTCGAGAAGAGACGTAAAAGTTGCAGCATCAGGTTCCAATTCTTTTCCCAACATGTGGTAAAATAACCTCTGAGCCTCTTCAATTTGTCCAACCTCACAAAATTTTCGTATAAGAATATTGTATGTCTTCAAATTCCCACAACACTGACTAGCAAACATCTCATCCCAGAGCTTTTTAGCAGGGCGCAGTAGATCCTGTTTACAACATGCTTCCATCAAAAAATTATAAGATGAGACATCGGGGACTATTCCTTTCTTCTTCATGTCCTGCAAAACTCCATAGCCTTCTTTAACTCTCCCAGCCCTGCATAAGATTGACAGCACCGCATTGTAACCCTCTAAATCTTTAAAACAGTTGTGACAATTCAAAACCTGGAATACCTCCAACAGCTCATCAAACTTGCCATGTTTACAGAGACTCCTACCCAAATTACTCACAGTCAAAAGAGATGGGAATTTCTCTTTTCCAACCATGAAGTTGAAAAACATAATTGCCGAATCAGGATCAATGGTTGAAACAGACCCTATCAATATATTGAGAACGTCATCCTCAATAGGAAAATTACCACCAACAATTATTTCCCCCAACTCTTTTGCTTCAGAGATCAGCCTCTCTAAGATCAGGGCAAGAATTGTGTCCTTGTAATCATTAGCCCTTGGAGCCACTCCTAATTTCCTCTTCTTTTTCAGGACCTTTTCCTCATCAGCCACATTTCCCATCGATTGAAATGCTACCGCAACAATTCTATACGCCATAAAATCAGATTTCCATCCCCTGTTCCTCAGTTCATCCAGCATCCAGAAAGCCTCAGACACCATAGATGCATGACAGAGCCCATGGATGATAAGAACAGCTACCACAGAACCATTAATGCCCGAACTGCATTTTTGAACCTCATCTAGTATGCTCAATACTTTCTTCAACTCACCCACTTTACAGAGCCTCCATATAAAGACCCCAAAACCAAGTGTACTTAAAGGGATGCTTTTCCGAGTCATTTCCCCAAACACTTTCTCTGCACTATCCAAGTACCCATCAGATGCCAGAGCAGCCAAGAGCGAGTTACATGTCTCGCTTCCAATTTCCGGAACAAGATACGATACTTGGCCAAAAAGTAGAAAAGCATTGTGGATCTTCTTCCCAACGATCTGGGAAGCAATTATGGAGCGATAAACAGAAGGGTCAACGGAAAATTTCAGGTCTTGGATCTGTTTCAAGAGGGAATCAATGGCACTGAATTGACGGGAAAGAGAGAGGGATTTGAGAATGGATTGGTAGGTGATGGGAGTGTGGGCGAAGCCAGGCTGCTGGGAAGCCCAGTTGAAGAATCCCAAAGCGAGCGAATGGTGATTGAGAAGGAAGGGATCGATGACAGCGGCGACGAGTGAGGGAGAGAGAAGACTGCGGCAACCGAGTTTGTGGAGGGTGTGCTCCAGAGAAGGACTCCATGAACGCGTTGGCCTGGTGTGGTTTGAGGCGGAGATCAGAGCTCTGCTTATTCGAACAGCCAAATCTGCTGCTGCCTGGGGTTTCATCAAACGGATGGTGACCCTCCCCAATTTTCGAAGATGACGTTGTTAAATACTCCCTCTTTCAAAATTTCCCTCTGTTTTCTCGGATGGTCTTCCAACATGTTGCTCCAAGTGAATCGGTTTTGTTTTGTGAATAACTAAGTAATCATGAAAGTGTTCATTACTGTGCAAATTAGTTTGTTGTGTCTTATATCTAAAGTCTGAATAATAAATACTATATCTCAAATTCTTAATATAAGAGTTAATTGATTAATTTAAGTAGATTAAAAAATTAGTTATGTTAGTTATTTGTAATAAATAGATGTTGTAGTGTATTAACTAGAACTACTATTATTATAAACACTATATGAGAAAAAAAAAATATAAGAAACAAACTAAATTAAAACTAAAATAAAAATCAAGCTAGGTGAGGTATTACCTACAACAATAAACCTAGACAGGATTGTGGGAAACTGTGAATCACACATTGACATCCCCTGTCGAGAAAAAACAGACTAGCGTGAATGTTTGTGGATATGCATATACACACACATTTAAGCATAAATAGATTAGACCGAGCCAAAACCGACTGGTTGAATAGAATTCTAGATCTACTCATTTTAAGTTGAAGCTGGTTGAGTTGGACTTAACTACGTTGAAGCTGGTTTAGTTGAATTTAACCTAGCTTCTTCCAGACTAAAAATGAGATTTCTTACTCTTGAAAAGAAGGCCAATTCTTCAATTAAATATCTTGAAAAACTCAAATCCACTTGATTATGTTTGTTATAGCCAATTATTCGATCAAATCTTGATATTTGTATATTTTTTTCACATTTCATTTACTTAAATATAACGGGCTGTAATTATATTCACGATAGTCCTAAGTTTTGAAATTTAATTGAAAAATTGGTGATAATATAGACAAGGCTTAGCAAAACATGCATATCAACGTCACTGTCAATAATTTTTTCTCCCGCCTTTGCCCCAACGAGATTCACTCGATTTTTGCTCAGTTTTGAAGCCCTCCCTCTTTAATTTTCCATTCATGGAGTTAACCACAACTACAAGCACAGAATCGTCTGAACACCCATATCCGAAAATGACACTGTTGTATTCCCCTAGACAACCATTACAACTTTCTGGGGGCAGATCACAATTAAGTTCGATTTCTAAGTAGGAAACACGGTATATAATGCTATACACAGATATTTACACATGTATACATCTTTCCCACCATTATATACATATTTACATCCTTCTCACCAAATTTATCTAAGACTACTCTTTGCTCCATATGTACAACCTAAAGTTTTCTTCTTCATTAACCTCTGATAATCTAGATTACTCCACGTACGCAAGAGCCATGTAACGTACTTTGTACATTCATATACACAAGACTATGTGCAGGATGAATTTACCCGCCCCTCTTCACTTTGCTGGGAGGAAGATGCATATTTACCATGTCATTGACATCTACATTTGCTTTGACTGGGCTGATGATGATTAATGCTGAGAATATAGGAAGATAAGACTTAAGAATAAGATCTGATCAACTTAAAATTCTGAAAAGATCGAGCTTTAAAGAAATTCCCGAAGAGGAATCCGAACGTAGTCTGATGAGGGGCCTTCGGTGGAAGAGTGGAGTCGTGTTTCACCCGAAGTGCTGTCTGGCCGATCTGCCTGCGAATTGAATCGATGATCTTGGGGTCAACTGGGTTACCGGTGACATCAGTGACATAGAAAGTGTCTTTGGCCTTTCCTCCTTCTGTTGATATTTCTGCTCTCTTGATGCATAAACTGTTCTCCCGGAATATCCTCGTTATCTCTGAAAGGAGTCCTACACGATCTTCTGTGCATAACTCCAGCTCCATCCCCTGCACACGGACATTTTACTTCGCCATATAATATAACCGAAAAGGAACTGTTAGAAGTACAGGCTCATGGCGGTTGACACACACCTCAGATACTCGCCTTTCAATGGCTGCTTCAAGACACTGTACAAGACGTTCTCGCTCAGCCTCTGAGCTTATAGGATGACCGTCAACATGTCGAATGTAAAACTCCTAGATAAGAGAGGAAGAAGTTTCATCAAGATTAAAAAAAGGGTAAGAAAGGGAAGTTGAAAATGAATCCCAAGTGGGTCTAACCTGATAGGCTTCTGTACCATCTGTGCGGACCACACCGTGAAAAACTACATACTGCATATCTGTTAAGGTGCAAACAATATCAAACAACAGTTTGGGCCTATCTTTTCCCCTCATGGTAACAACAGTGTAGTCTTTCTCAATGCAATCTAACACGGTTACATGGGGAAATGAGCTCCTATCTCTGATTTCCCCTTTTCCTGCTTTTTCAACCCTTTCATAGTCCCTGTCAGCAAACATAATCTGATGCAACCTTCTGTCCCTATTTGTAATTCCAGGCGGTGAAAGTGTTGTTCGTGCTGTCTTCAGATCACTGTCCCCCCTAAGGACATTGCAAAGCAAGTCCCTTATTGTAGAGAGACGGGAAGAATCCTTGATAGCACGCCCACTGCAATCATCAGTCACATGGACTACAGCTGCAGCCCTGGTATTATGTGTCCATATCTCGGCATTTACAACATTACAGTGCAGGTCTGCAAGAACTGCACAAACTTCAGACAGTAAACCAGGCCTGTCTGTGCCCGTGAGTTCAATTGAGGTGTGCTCTTCAGAAGGAACGACCCCAACAGACCCTCTCAATGAAGGCACAAATCCGGGATTGTTTTCAAGTTTCTGCAGATTGGGAAAGTAAAATATCAGTAACTACATGAACTTTAGACAGTCAAACATCAAGGGACTAAATATATTATTGATAAAAGGTATGAGAGTATTTATCATCCGACCCAAAGGAAGAATTTAAGCAAGCGTATGCATGTTTCAGACTTCAGAGTCCAGAAACCAGTGTCTCCCAGAAGAATCCAGAAAATTCATGGTACTTTCAATATCAGAGTTCAGAAAAGCAGATTACTGAAGAGGATCATATTTAACATAGGAAAACATTAAAGGAACAGTTTTCTCCTCCGTTTTACTTGACCTAGTAGATAGCTCATGCAATCAGCCAACGATAGAGTGCTGCTTAATTGGGTTGAGGATTTCTTTTTTATTTTTCGGTTTTTTATGCAGAAAGAGCAGAGATCCATTCTCAGATACCAAGGAAACGGTAACAACTTACATAAAATGGAACAGCTAAATTTAAATAAAGTCAAGTCTCTGAGTCCCTACCCTTTGAATGTAATCAATGACTTCCCTATCTCTGATTTTGTTTCCATTGTGATCAATCACGTTAAACACTGAAAACATAAAGCAGAGCAGTTAGTTACTAATCTGATAATGATAACAACAAAAATTCAAGCCTTTTACATTTTAACCTCTCTCTGGTGAAAGAGAAGATTACCATCCATGAACCACACCCCATCAGATGAGATGTAGGCTTTCCTTATTATAAGGTTGAGATCCGTCAGAACTTGGACAACATCGAGGAGAATCCCGTGTTTGTTAACACTATCAACCTGAAAAAATTATTCAAATCATACTAAGATAATACTACAAAATTAATCTGGTAGACTCAAAATTTTGAATTTCATCTCCGCACAGATTTGGGGGGAAACGGAAGAAAGGGAAAAGTAAAATGTAACAAAGGATTCTACAACTCCATGCCAATCGAATTTTGTGAAGCCTAAACACAAAAGAAAACAAGCTTTACCTTGATAACGGTGGCGTCTTGACTAGCGTCGTTGTCGATTACAACCCTGCATGAAGCAGGCACAACAAGAGTTAGTGGCGGCCAGTCCCTCCATCATCAATACACATACGAACTCTTGAATAGGAATATAAAACGTAGACATAATAAATATAAGTACGGCCACTTGCAAGTAATCAACCCAAAACGGTCATTAGAATCCCAAATTTTAAGAACGTTGAATACAAATGGAGCAGAAATACAGAAATCGTTTTGAAACTGGACAGACTAAATCCACGAGAACTGGAAAAGAACCATTAAGCAAATCTCTAACAGACTTCTTTGTGTTTTTTCACTTTTTTTGAGGGCAGGGGAATAAGAACCGGAGCGAAACTCCATTTGAAAATTAAAACCACGGTTGCAAAATATAAGGGAAAAACGAAAAGAACAAACAGACTCCTCAATCCCTAAGACAGTCCCAAATTTGTTGGTGGCGACTCCGACGGTCCCCTGAGAACATATAGAACAACCAATATACTTGTCCAAAAAGCGAAGTAAAAACTCGTACAAATTAAACATAAATACCTTGGGGGATTCATACGCCAGATAAGCTTTGCATATTCATCTTCCATTTCTGAAAAATTTAAGAAATACGTACACCAAAAAACTGTTGGGAAATCTCGGAGCAGGCTCGGCAGTTTTAGTACCTCGCCAGAAATAACATACTTGTTCAGGGGAAGATAAGAAAAAGAGAAACTCGGCTCGAATCAGAAAATACTGCAAGTATAGGAGCCCTCGCCCCGCTCCTCCAAAAAGCACGGAAATGCCAGAGAGATAAAAGGGAGTGAACGAGGAAAAGGTACTATATAAGAGGGAAAGCTTAATAGACGAAGGAAGAGACCCTGATTGTGTAGAGAATCCGCGGAGGAATGTGGACTGTTCTGTGTGACGTGGCAGGCGGTGATTGGGGTTAGAGTATCCGCTCATGTCTTTTGACCTTTTCGGGCCTCACTCGATTTTCTGGTATCAACTCGTACGGAGACGAGTTTCTCTCGATCAGCAAGTGAAAGAATTGGCGGTCGATGACGTGTCTCTACACGTGTCGCCTCCACAATCGGGCTTAGATCTGCCGCTATTATTGCCGGCAATCTTAGCTTCATCGCTTCACCGACTGAATTTCCGCCCGCTTACTCGCACCCGTCCTCAACTTATTGAGGGGAATCCCCCCCCCCCCCGGGGGGATCGCTGGCCAAAAGAGTGAAATAAATTACGCTTCATTTTTATCCTTTAATCGCCGAAGCTAGTTTTAGGTGACAGTTTGATGTGATTTGGGATCAAGA